GTCCTAGGTACTGTTATGGGGGATACTTTACCAAATCAGACTAGTAAGTCCTAGTACAGAAGCCCTACACTACAATATATATATATATATGTATAAGTATATATATATATATGTATATATAGGTACTTATTTCGGCCCCTGAATTAGACCACACCACCGAGCATGTCGTCTGCGCCTCTTTGGAGCCCTCCGTCTCCTCCTCCTTGGAGTTCTCCTTCGGAGCGAGGCTTCGGGGTTTGGGGTTGAGAGGTTTGTGAGTTTAAAGTAGAAGGTTTAGGGTTTAGGGTTTAGGGTTTAGGGCCTGGATAATTAGGATAGCGTTTGGGGGTTTCGGGCTTTAGCTTGTCGGATGAGGGGTTTGGAGCTTGAGGGTGTGGAAGTTCGTTTTGGGGGTTTAGGGCTTTTTGGGTTCACGGCTTTAGGATTCAGCGCTTTAGGCTTTAGGCCCTAACCTGAAATTTAAACCCTAGACCCGAAACCCTCAACTCTGAACGCCTAAACCCCAACGTGTTTAGGGCTTAGAATCATAGTGGCTCAACAGACATACTTCAGCGTGTCGGGCTCCGAACCGGCAGCCTGCAACCGACAATGCCTAATATAGGGGCCTAAATTGGCCTAAATAATTATCAGCACTATTTTGGGGGTCCCATATTATAATTATAGTATAATATACCCCCAAAACCCCGTTCTAATTATCAGGCCCCTACATTTTCACTGCCCCGCCCCCTCTCGGCGTAAGACACAGACAGACAGAGACATCGGGTGAAGGCTGAGGAGTGCTTCGCCCACAAGCACCGGCAATGTAAGGCACAATCCCCAAACACGCAATCGCCGAAATCACCAAGAAAGTATCACACCATCGTGCAACCGCTAGAAACCTTCTATGAAGAGCACCCAAGCTAAGCGGAATCCTTGGCTTCCTCCTTGGCATCTTCTTTCGGAGCTTCCTGGCGGCAACAGCGATGCAAAAAACAACTCTGGCTTCCTTTTCTCTATGCTTCCAGGGACCTTATTCTTGGGTCCTCGGGGTTTAGGGTTTAGGGTCTAGGGTTTAGGGTAAAGGGGTTTAGGACCCTAACTATATAAGGTCCTTGGAAGCATAGGGTATGGTTCATGATTAAGCACGAAGGCCTGTTTACGCTGCAACAGGATACTCAGACAGGAGTTTGAGGATGCTATCAGAGGCACAGGCACAGGCCATGCAACTTACCCTGCAGCCGAAGCACATCTTGGCCTCATAGACAGACCCTAACCCTCCAGGTACCTACTATAGAGGGTACTAGAGCCCCTAGGGCCCCATATAGTAGGTACCGGGAGGGTTAGGGAGAGGACTTGGGATTTGTAAATTGACTCCACGAGAGTGAGGAGGGACGCCTGCTCAGCCGTGTGGCAGATGGGCATGCAGGGTCTCTTCGACAGCAAGCACTTCGTGTTGATGATGGCGCCCACGTTCAAGGCATGAATCATTTCGGCATAGTAATGTAGGGGGCTTTATATTTCGAATAGGGTTTCGGGGCCCAGTATACTATAATTACAATAAGAAACCCCAAAGAATAGTCTTAACAATTATTCAGGCCCCTACATTACTCCCTCGGCATGCCGAAAACATCGCCCCCCCAAGGCCAGAGGAAGACGGCTTCGGAGGGTTTAAGAGTGTAAGATTTAGGGCTTATAGGGTTTGGGGTTTAGGGCTTTAGGTCTACGGCCCTAAACCCTAAACCCTAACCCTAGCCCTAAACCCCTTTAGGGTTTAGGGTTTGGGGTTTAAGGTTTAGCGCTTTGGGGTCTAGGGGCTTCGGGTTCTGGTATCGGGCAGGCCGCCAGAGCTCAGGACGTCTTTGCCCCCAGCAGGGCCTTCTTCTTGTCTGGTGAATACCTACATCCTACCTACCTACCTGTTGAGGGGTTTAGGAGTTTAGGGTTTAGGGCTTAGGGTTTAGGGTCTAGGGTTTCGGGGTTTGCCTACCTACCTACATACCATACATACATACATATGTACATACATACTTACATATTATGCATACTTACATACATTCATACATAGATACGTACATACCTACATACCGATGTGTGTGCATACATGCATGCAACAAGACGTACATTGATGTACAGACTACGTATACACAGGTCAAGAAATTCTACATGCATCGCTGTCTTGTACTCTAAACACACACACACACACACTCGCATGGAGGTCATGACACCAGTCCGAGAATTCGGAAACTACCCGCAGCGATACATGAGTTTAGCGATACGGATCCAGGGCCCACGATTGACTATGTTGTGGATGCCTGCCGTTACAATACCAGGCACGAAGCAGGATGACTATCGCCGGGATTACGTGTACCTCTATGTGGTAATTACATGCATTGACATTCGGGTTTCCAATCTCGGTGCATTGCGAAACATACACTACCAGACCAGGACTATCACCCAATCAGCAGCTCGAACAAAAACCTGAATACCCCGCAATACCTAAATCCTTACTAAGCTACACAAAAAATCCTCAACCCGAAGCCCTCAAGCCGATAATTAGGCCCAATAAGCCTCAACCCTAGCCTAAGCCTATAAAACTCCAGCGGGGTGGGGGGCCTGCTTCTCAGGGCTCGAAGCCTTCTGTGAAACTGCAGAGTCTTCTTTCGAGTTTTCCTGCGCACTTGCGAGTGGAGTGGAAGCTGCTCTGACCATATAGACCCTTGATTGATAAGCTTCTTCTTTGAGTTGTAAAGGGCTTCATTTCGGATGCTTTTTTAGGGATTCCAAAGTTTCTTCACATGTAAACTCTTCAGTCAGCCTGCCTTCCGGGGTCTCAATGTGTCTTAGCATGTAATATTCGGACCCTTAGATGGTACAAGGATTGCAGACAGGATACGGTTTGTCAAACAGGCGTCGCGCCCACGCCTGAAGCCTAAACCCTGGAACAGCACCACATCCGGAGATGAGCCCCGCACCAGCAGGAACCCACTGTCTACACATGCCTGGCCTTCTTTTGTCCACCCGTCACCCTTGCTTACAATCTCAAAAACTCCCAAACACATAAAACGATAACCTTAGTGGTGGTTCAGCCCAAAAGAAGCCTCATAAGACGAAGGACAGAGGAAGCCGGCGATGGCAAGACTCGCAGACTCTACAACTTACGGACGCGACGGCGGCCCGAGGACACTTGAAGCATCCTTAGGGTTTAGGGTTTAGG